ATCCTGTCACCTATGCTTGATCCTGAAATAACAACGTTCGGCAATAAACTTCCTGCTCACACGATGCATGTGAAGTTGAAGAAAGAAAAAGCAGCAGAATGGTTTCATCTGCAGTAAGTTGAGCAATTTAATTCATTCACCTTACATGACTACACTCCTTATCCCTGGGACGGACCAGGCGTGGCATTCGGACATGGCATATGAGTTACTCGTGGGATCCTTCAAGAAAAGTGTAATCTTGCTTTGTGTTGTACAAAAGCGTGATTACAACTGCTCAGAATGGAAAAATCTCACGAAAACTGCAGCAACCTTTCGTTCAGTTAAAGATCGAAGCCACGCCTACTGCATCTCAGAGATTTCCAGTGTGAAAGACGCGGTCGGCTTCGTGGGGGGAGGAGGGAAGCGGTGCACGTTGCTCTTTCGCTCCTTCCTGTTGTTGTATCGAGCCATAAAGTGAAGAGTTGTGAAGTTTTGTGAAGCCATGAAGTGACACCAGTGATTCTACAAAGTTTATATGGCCCAGTTGTCAACTCTCGTAAAGCAATGAGCAATGAACACGAAAACGGGAAGTAGCGAGAGCGCGAAACGCTCCCCTCCACGAAGCTCACCCGCGCCGATTTTTGCATGAGGAAAATTTTAACTTTCCCGGATGTTGGATACAAATTGATTTGTCTACAATGTTGCACAAATCTCTGACTAGTATACTACTCTTTCCATTTACTGCAGAATGAAGGCACCGGATCTTTGGACGGCGCCTCCTTGTTTTGGAATTTGCCTCAAATGGAGCGACTATCAATTGATGGTAGAGCAGACATATAGAACCTGCGAAAGTAAGTTGCTGTGTGTTTATTAATGGGAAATCCTGGGACTGATCGATCAAGCACCACGCTTTTGAATCGTCTTGAATGAAGCTTTGCTTCATTCAAGACGATTCAATAATATGAAAACCTCCAGCCCCCCTCCCCTCCTCCCACGCCCCTTCGGTCTACACAGCGGCTTCAGGGAAGTTGATCGACGGGAAGCGGTGTACAGTCCTGTTCGGCTTCGAATGAGGGAAACTGGGCTCGTCACGGGGCCAGCCCGTTCCCCACTGATTGAGGCTGCTTGCCAGCTTCCAAGACGGGTTGGCGTTGGACCAGCCCTCTGACACGACCCTGCCCCACCCACAACGAACAAGACTGCATATACTTGCGTTCCCAAACGTAGTTTCATTCACATTTTTCTAAAGTCACAGAGGAAACTACTACTGGGTCAAATACAAGACTGCGTCCATACTTTGCGGCAGCGTCCATACTTCGCAGCAGCGTCCAGCAGCGTCCACCAACGACCGTCAGCGGATTCAGCGTCCACCATCGACCAGGTGTGGAGAGTATGGAAGAAGGAGAGAGGAGATGGCTGAATTAGGCGTTGTAATTGTGATGTGGGCAACCGCACACTACTACCACGCAGTACCATATTCCTGGTCGCTGGTGGACGCTGGCGGTCGCTGGTGGACGCTGGCGTACGCTAGATCGATATCCATATTTTGCCCCATCAGACACTGATGGTCGCTGGTAGCGCTGCGGTCTGCCAGATCGATATCTATACTTTCCTAGTTGCTGACGATGACGGATGTTCGCAACGCTGATGGTCGTTGGAGTGCGCTGGTAGTCCCCTTGTGGACGCTGCAAAGTATGAGCGCAGCTAACGCGAATGGGCGCAGCTAACCGTAGCCTAGGACGCCAAGCCACCTTGATATTTTATTCAAAGGACATATCCTACATTTATAGTCACTCTTCAGCCTTGGTGGACGATGCAAACATGATGCAAGCACTGCGCGAGTCCAAGTTCGATCTGGTTTACAGCGAAGGACTCGATACCTGTGGACCAGGGCTATTCGAGGTTCGAAAGCAATGCGACTTCAATGTCTCCTCTGCTACTTCGAGTTTATAGGAGACAAACAGAACTAACTGATGAACTTTCACCTCACTGATCTTTTTTCAGATGCTTAACATCAAAAGTGCCGTGATTCTCTGCAGTTTGGGTATGTGGCCACGACTGTATGACATCTCTGGATTAAGGCCATTGCCGAGCTTTGTACCAAGTAATTATCTTACAAATTATCAAATCATATCAGATAACGGCAATCTTGTGGAAGGAGAAGCGTGTAGACTGATCCTGAACTTCCGCGAAGGAACAAAGGCGCTGTTCGGCTCGAGAGGGGTATTTTGCGCTTTTGCTACTTCCTTTTACAAGTTCATGTTGCTTGACTGGTTACACTTGGTAAGACGTCTAAGCTCCTGTGAGGTGCTAGAGGGTTATAATTGAGCCATTTTGGTTGCAGGACTTACTGGTCCTCACAAGCTGACCTGAACTAGATGCGATAAGTACTATATGGAGCCCCTCCAAGCCGAACTGCGCCGGAATGGAAATTTTCCATCATCACTTCTTCAAGCCTTGCATTTCAGTCGGACTCTCACCATTCTCAGACGAGCTATCATTCTTCGAGAGGCTGATCAACTTTCAATCTACATATCTTCTTCGATATCTATAAAGTCTGGCTAGACCACCGATTTTGGCGAATGTTCAACGAAAGAGTTCCTGGAATACCCACAAGTCAAGATATTCTTTATGTAAGACTCTAATAGCTTTGTTCGGATGCAATGGTACCATTTATTCATTATTCAGCCTTTCGTAGGAAAAAACTGCGTTGATCATGACAAACGTCCACGAGTTCGCTGAGACGACACGTCCTAGAACCAACATGTCAAGATATTCTTTATGTAAGACTCTAATAGCTTTGTTTGGATGCAATGGTACCATTTATTCATTATTCAGCCTTTCGTAGGAAAAAACTGCGTTGATCATGACAAACGTCCACGAGTTCGCTGAGACGACACGT